GGAGGCTCCCCACCCCTCCCCCGCCCCGGGCCCAGGCCCTGAACCTTGCTGGCCTGCACGTTCTTTTTATTTCGGTGGGACTGTTCTCACCCGCCTGTGAGTCTGAAGCAATAAACTTTATGGCCGGATTTAACTTTAGTCTTTGAATCCCCAGGCTAAATGAAAGGAGTTACGGCGCTTTCTTTTCTTCCGCCTCGCCTCTCTTTTCACTCTCTTTCCTTTTTCTCTCCTCTTTTGTAGAATTTAAAACATCCATGTACAAGGCCCTCAAAAGGCAACTAAGGCGCCCCCCCCACCCCTTAGATAACTCTAAAGATAGAGAAATGTACTCCCCCTCAGCATACAGGGGGAATTCTTCCAAACTGTGCCCTAAAGTTTTGGGGGAAATCGAGGTGTCTTCAACGCCCAACTTAAAAGTCCCCAGAGCCATTAGGTTGTTTTCCCTGACACGTCATAAAGGGTAGTTGAGGGAAGAAATTGGTCGTTTGTCAGTAGGAGATTTCCGTCTTTCTTTTGTTAGCTGCTCTTTCTGTTTGATCCCAGGAAATTTACATAATCTATGATTTCCAAAACAGTCCCCAATATTGCACCAATGGGTGAAGTAAGGTGAAAGAAATTTTTCCTGGGTACAATTCCAGCTTGGCCTCAGCCACCCCCTCAGGCCCCCACCCCCCACATTCTTCCGTGGCAGAGCGGTGACTGGGGATGCTGTGGCCTGTCCCTCAGGATGGGTATTTCTCTGGATGGGTACTCACATGGGACCTTGCGGATTTCCCCCATCCCGACTGAGGAATTAAGCCAAATTTTCCAACTTAGAAATGAAACAAACAAACAAAAAAAAAGGGATCTTCTGCCTCCACATGCTTTTCTCCTTGGGAACTGGGTAGCTTTCTGCAAGTGCTCATTGGTAAAGATATGTACTAAGTGCTCAAAGTGAAAAAACTTAAAGTGTAGATTTGGAATTTCTACATACTTTATTGTGCACAGGCCACTCCTACCCAACATTAGTCCAACAGATGTTCCCAAAGACAGAGGTCCAAAGAGCAAAACCTGGGAAGTTTTCTGAAAGATCGAAACCCTCCTCCAAGTCCCACTTCTCTTGAATAGTGAGTGGCAAGGAAGATCCCTGCGGTCATGTTTTGTGCCCTGTGAGAGTGAGCATTGCTGTGTCAGTGCTCAGGAAAACGTGCCTACACCTTGGTGGGGACCAGAATAGAAACTCTCTTTGGGTTCTCTTTTTTATTTTAAGTGTCTGTAAGAATTCTGGAGTCTTTGTTTTGCTGCTCGGAGTTTTGGGTTCTTTATTGGAAAATGCTGGATGAAGGTTTTATTTTAGTTGCTCACTTGGTGATCTTGCTTGAGTGATTTCTTGATGACTAAAATTAGTAGCAGAAAAAAGAGTGATAGGGCTGCTGGCAGATTCACTTGAGTAACTTGCGTGGAGGAAGTGGCCACACCACCTCCGTGGCCACATCCCACCCTGGGGTGTGGGAATGGGCAGAAAGGCTGTTGGACCCATAGGCAGCATCACACAATATAGAGAAACTTTCCCATGATTTAAAAGACTTAGAGGCTATAAATATTGTCAGCTTGCTTATTTCTGTCTGCTGTAATCTTCATAAAACTTTAGAGTTTAAGGAGCAGGCCAACTCACATGGAGTTAAATGACTTAAAACACACACACACACACACACACACACACACACACACACACCCATAGCATCCAGTCAGACCTACGTGAGCATTCCTGCAGGAATTTTTTTCTTTCTTCCTATTTTCACAGGAAGCATAGTAAAGAGGATGGCTGGTTATCTGCTCATTTTTGTAGATAAGTTATTTCTCCTGCATTCTTTTGGGTTGTTTTTGCAGAGAAACTTCTTTAGAAAATATCTGTCATTGAGAGCTTTATGAAGACATCGAGCCTCAGCCGGTGGCAGAAGTGTCTGTCTGTGTTCCTTGTCTTGTAAAAGGAGAAGGTGTCTGAAATGTGCAGGGCCCTGTTTGTTTCTACAAGCCGCAGAGACAATATTTCCTGAACTATAAATATAATAGGAAGCTTCTGGTCACACTCACTTAGGGGTTTGTTAGGGTTTCCATGGTCTAATTCCACAACATTATGCCAAGATTCCTTTTCTTCTGCTCTTTCCCTGCTTCATTGTTGGCGGCTCTGGGAGAGCAAGACAGAATTTTCTACCAGAAACGGAGTCATGTTCATTTGTTGAGATGTGAAGAGTATTATATCCAAACAATTAGTGAGGGGAGAGCAAATTACATCCTTGGAGATGGGCTATTAGAGAGGAAAACAACCCTTTTAGCTTAAAAGATGCCCTTCGAAGCCTCTCCCTGCCTTAGCTTGGGAGTCTGCCTGAGGTTTGCCCACCATGGAGAGTGCAGAACAGAACTGTGTGGCTCTATCCCTTTGGCTTCTAGGGCAGAATTTCTTTCTAGTCAATGACAAAACTATAAATGGGGCTTCCAGACAGGGCTAAGGGGGTCAACGTAGGCTCCCGCCCACACAGGAGTGGGGCGCCTCAGTCCTGGCCATTCAAAGCCCCAGAACTGGAAGATTTGCCTAGGTTTGTTTTGTTTGTTTTTCACAAAGAAAGCTTCCTTCCCCCACCATGCCCCCTCCCCACAAACTGGCCTTTTCAATAATAATATTTGTTATGAAGGTTATTGGGTAATTATTGCGATTTTGTGAAGCAGCCCTTGCTAGAGGTGAAGTCTGTCATCACCTAACAAATGACGCCCGCGCAGTTCACTGCCGGGTTAAGTAAATGCAGAGAAGATAAATCTGCACACCCTAGGAATCGCCAGCAGAGCACGCTTTAGTACAAGTTCACAGTCAACTCGCCTGCCTGGGCCAGCTCGCCCAACAATTAGGGCTGCGTCTTTATTTTTAAATAAAGGGGGAAAAAATGTCTCCAACTTCCATTACCTGCTTTCCCCCATCTTCTTTTTCCTTTTGCTATTTGTGAGGTTCCCCCGCCCTACTCCCAATTGTCCTTGTAAATGTAATGATGAGTGATTTCAAAATAATCTCTTTCCTATTTTAAGTGCTGACAAAAAGAAGTAGAAGGCTGGTTTGACAGGAAATACAGTCACAAACACATACACACACACACACACACACACACACACACACACACACAAATCTAGTGCACCCTCTTGTTCTAAAAGGCTGTGGCAGAAGTAGGGCATCCCTGAGATCCTGGGAGGGGGCCTTCCCCTGAGAGAAAAGGCACAGCTTTGTATATCTTTGTGGTTAGTGCGTTGCAACTGCAGGTCAAAAAGTTGAGGGTCAAAAGTTTACGTTGTGCAGCACTCTTAGTCATCTGCCCAGACAGAGTTTGATGTCAATGTTAGAGCTGCGATCTTGACTATCAGCACAAAAGATAAAATGGCTTGGAGTGACGCGTGTATCACGGTATGGACTCCAGGTGAACCCTCGTGGTTGAATGACCTCAATTACGGAGAAAAGGATAGAAAATTCCTCTTTTCAAGAGTAATACATGCTGTATTTCATCTTGAATTATCGCTCCCATTCTGAGGGAATAGCAGCAGGTAAATAGGCTTAGATTACTGAAAAACCAACACCTTAGATTGCTGGAGAACCAGGAGTCTTCGGGTGTGTCACAAAATAAAAAAGCTCAGAAGTCATCAGTGGACCTTTAAGAAATAACGTAGCGAGTTTCCAATGCCCCGTGGTACCTTCAAAGGCAAGAGAACCGGCAGGAAACTTCCTTTATTTGAAAACAGTGATTTTGATTTGCCATTTCTCTTTTTAGTTCCCATAATGATCCCTAAAGTGTGTGAGAAGAAGGGCAAACACAGGCACTTCTTGCAAAATGTGTTCTTTGCAATTTTCAAACACAGAATGCTTTTTCTGAAATTGCCACTCACTAAATGCCAAGAGTTCTTAGAGCTGGGAAGGGGAGGAAGGAAACGGAAACCCTCCCCCGAAGGGACAGGATTCTTCTACCCCTCCAGCAGTGAGAAAATGCTCATTGGTACCCTGAAAATGTTCCTGTTGTCGGACATTTTTCATTACGGTTATTGTTAACCCTACATTGAATGTAAGAGAAATGCTACAATCTATAAGTGAATAGCCACACTGTAAAGAATATGCCATTTGAGCAGAAAGGTGGAATCCAGGAATGTCAGAGCACCGTGACAGACTTCTGTTCTCCAGAAAATACTCTTTAAAAACACATTTGGAATAAAAGCTAAGGAGAGGAGAAGCGAGCTAAGGAGGAAGGGTGGGAGAGTGGGAAAGAAAGGGAACAGTGTGTTAAGGAAGCCGGCTGGAACCATGCCTCCTGTGTGAGTTGCAACTGGAGAGCTA